GGATGACTTTAGTCACTGGTATTCTGTGCTTATGTCTTAGATCTCTGGTATTCTGTGTTGAACGACTTAGATCACTGCTTTTCTGTGCTGATGTCTTAGATCACTGGTATTCTGTGTTCGATGACTTAGATCACTGGTATTCTGTGCTATGTCTTAGATCACTGGTATCCTGTGTTGGATGACTTAGATCACTTTTATTCTGTGCTGATCTTATAGATCACTGGTATTCTGTGTTGGATGACTTAGATCACTGTTATTCTGTGTTGAATAACTTGGATCACTTGTATTCTGTGTTGGATGACTTAGATCACAGGTATTCAGTGCTGGTGTCTTAGATCGCTGGTATTCTGTGTTAAATGACTTACATCACTTGTATTTTGTGCTAATGTCTTAGATCAATGGTATTCTGTGTTGGATGACTTAGATCACCGGTAGGTATTCTGTGCTGATGTTTTAGATCACTGGTATTCTTTGTTGGATGACTTAGATCACTTGTATTCTGTGTTGAATAACTTAGATCAATGGTATTCTGTGTTGGATAACTTAGATCACTGGTATTTTGTGCTGATGTCTTAGATCACTGGTATTCTATGTTAGATGACTTAGATCACAGGTATTCTGTGTTGAATGACTTAGATAACTTGTATTCTGTGTTGGATGACTTAGTTCACTGGTATTCTGTGCTGATGTCTTAGATCACTGGTATTCTGTGTTAGATGACTTAGATCACGTGTGTTCTGTGTTGAATGACTTAGATCACTTGTATTATGTGTAGGGTGACTCAGATCACTTGTATCAATAATCTTGCCGTCCTTTTCAGGATGCAAATTTTCGTTATTTGATGCCCTACTCTGGCACATACCAGGGGCCGCAATTTAGCCTAATGGCTGAAGGCAGTTTCTGGGACCTCTCCACTGTGATCCTCACCCACATGGTGACACATTGTGTCATCGTGTGTTTATCGCTTCTGTGATGTCCTTGTGGGGTAGAAAGTCAGTCAGTCACTTAGATCACTGATTTTTGTGGTGGATGTCTTAGATCACTGGTATTCTATGTTGGATTACTTAGATCACTGGTATTCTGTGCTGATGTCTTAGATCACTGGTATTCTGTGTTGGATGACTTAGATTACTTGTATTCTGTGTTGGATGACTTAGATCATAGGTATTTTGTGCTGATGTCTCAGATCACTTGTATTTTGTGTTGGATGACTTAGATCCCATGTGTTCAGTGTTGACTTAGATAACTTGTATTCTATGTTGGATGACTTAAATCACTGGTATTCTGTGCTGATGTCTTAGATCACTGGTATTCTTTGTCACACAGCTTGATAATACGTGTGACTGTAAATTATGTACATCACATACAAACTCACACAGCTTGGTATAACGTGTGCCTGTAAATTATGTATTTCACATGCAAACACACAGTTTGATATAACGTGTGCCTGTAAATTATGTATTTCTCATGCAAACACACAGTTTGGTATAACGTGTGCCTGTAAATTATGTATTTCACATGCAAACACACAGTTTGGTATACCGTGTGCCTGTAAATTATGTATTTCACATGCAAACTCACACAGCTTGGTTTAAAGTGTGCCTGTAAATTATGTAGATCACATGCAAACTCACAGCCTGGTATAACGTGTGCCTGTAAATTATGTATATCACATACAAATTCTCACAGCTTGGTATAACGTGTGCCTGTAAATTGTGTATATCACATGCAAATTCACACAGCCTGGTATAATGTGTGCCTGTAAATTATGTATATCACATACAAACTCACATGCTGTTATACAGAGATACGCCCGTATCAGGCGGCACCGTAAAGGGGGTGGGGGCGTATAGGCAGCGAAATCAGAATAAACTTTGAACTTTTAATGTGACAGCGCAATGCAACTGGGCCGGCATTTCATAACATAGTCTTGCGTCAGACTGAGTCCAATCTACCACCGGGGACTGAGTCCAATCTAAAACCGGGGACTGAGTCCAATCTACCACCGGGGACTGAGTCCAATCTACCACCGGGGACTGAGTCCAATCTACCACCGGGGACTGAGTCTAATCTACCACAGGGGATTGAGTCCAATCTACCACCGGGGACTGAATCCAATCTACCACCGGGGACTGAGTCCAATCTACCACCGGGGACTGAGTCCAATCTACCACCGGGGACTGAGTCCAATCTACCACCGGGGACTGAGTCCAATCTACCACCGGGGACTGAGTCCAATCTACCACCGGGGACTGAGTCCAATCTACCACCGGGGACTGAGTCCAATCTACCACCGGGGACTGAGTCCAATCTACCACCGGGGACTACTTCTCATTCTAGTACAGTATTTCATTATGTTCCATTTATAATTTTAGATAGTTATTTCATTCTAATGATTTACCTCGTCGAGGTCTGCGTTTCTTGTTTAGACGTTGTCAATGGGCTTCGTAATTCTGAAATACCCGGTGCGATTTCAGCTGCAGGCACTTTTACAACAGGTGTTGATTTCCATATTGGTACCGGCCGGGGGAGGGGGAGGTGTTTGATCTTGCAGAAAGCATTGGCAAACTAGTGGACAGAACCTTGCTAGGAAAACCAAACAGCCACCAAATGCTGGCGTTAGGTCTGCAACGTCCAGTAAAGGATAAGGATGTAAACTAACTAACCTCATAGAGAAACAAAAGTGTGAACTCTAAGCTTCAAAGGGCCTGGAGTTGAATCTGACCTGGTAACAACTGGCTGGACTCAAGAGAGTTAACTCATTCTATTATGTCCAAACATCAGTTAATGGCTGGACTCAAGAGAGTTAACTCATTCTGTTCTGTCCAAACATCAGTTAATGGCTTGACTCAGATAGTTACCTCATTCTATTTTGTCCAGACACCAGTTAGTGGCTGGACTCAGGGAGTTAACTTATTCTGTTTTGTCCAGACATCTGTTAATGGCTGGACTCAGAAAGTTTAACTTATTCTATTCTGTCCAGACATCTGTTAATGGCTGGACTCAGAGAGTTAACTTATTCTGTCCAGACATCTGTTAATGGCTGGACTCAGAGAGTTAACTCATTCTGTTTAAGCATCCGTTAGCCAGTCATCAGCATGCCGTACAGATCATGCGTCACACACAGCTCGCAGGTGAATCCTCTATTCTCTTGTATCCTGGGCCATCCTTTCAATGCCAGGCATGAGTTCTTGGCAGGCCGACGTTAGCCCAGGTTGCGACTGACACCGTCAGTATAGTAACTGGCACTATCAGTATAGTAACTGACACTGTTAGTATAGTAACTGACACTATCAGTATAGTAACTGACATTATCAGTAGAGTAACTGACACTATCAGTATAGTAACCGACAATATCAGTATAATAACTGACACTATCAGTATATTAACTGACACTTATAGTAACTGGCACTATCAGTATAGTAACTGACACTATCAGTATAGTAACTGACACTATCAGTATAGTAACTGACACTATCAGTATATTAACTGACACTATCAGTATATTAACTGACACTAATAGTAACTGGCACTATCAGTATAGTAACTGACACTATCAGTATAGTAACTGACACTATCAGTATAGTAACTGACACTAATAGTAACTGGCACTATCAGTATAGTAACTGGCACTATCAGTATAGTAACTGACACTATCAGTATAGTAACTGACACTATCAGTATAGTAACTGACACTATCAGTATAGTAACTGACACTATCAGTATATTAACTGACACTAATAGTAACTGGCACTATCAGTATAGTAACTGACACTATCAGTATAGTAACTGACACTATCAGTATAGTAACTGACACTAATAGTAACTGGCACTATCAGTATAGTAACTGGCACTATCAGTATAGTAACTGACACTATCAGTATAGTAACTGACACTATCAGTAAAGTAACCGACAATATCAGTATAATAACTGACACTATCAGTATAGTAACTGACACTAATAATAAATGACACTATCAGTATAGTAACTGACACTATCATTATAGTAACTGACACTATCAGTATAATAACTGAAACTATCAGTATAGTAACTGACACTATCAGTATAGTAACTGACACTATCAGTATAATAATTGACACTATCAGTATAGTAACTGACACTATCAGTATAGTAACTGACACTAATAGTAACTGGCACTATCAGTATAGTAACTGACACTATCAGTATAGTAACTGAAACTATCAGTATAGTAACTGACACTATCAGTATAGTAACTGACACTATCAGTATAGTAACTGACACTATCAGTATAGTAACTGACACTATCAGTATAGTAACTGACACTATCAGTATAGTAACTGACACTATCAGTATAGTAACTGACACTATCAGTATAAAAACTGACACTATCAGTATAGTAACTGACACTATCAGTATAATAACTGACACTATCAGTATAGTAACTGACACTATCAGTATAGTAACTGACACTAATAGTAACTGGCACTATCAGTATAGTAACTGACACTATCAGTATAGTAACTGACACTAATAGTAACTGACACTATCAGTATAGTAACTGACACAAATAGTAACTGACACTAATAGTAACTGGCACTATCAGTAAAGTAACTGACACTATCAGTATAGTAACTGACACTATCAGTATAATAACTGACACTATCAGTATAGTAACTGACACTATCAGTATAGTAACTGGCACTATCAGTATAGTAACCGACAATATCAGTATAGTAACTGGCACTATCAGTATAGTAACTGACACTATCAGTATAGTAACTGACACTATCAGTATAGTAACTGACACTATCAGTATAGTTACTGACACTATCAGTATAGTAACTGACACTATCAGTATAGTAACTGGCACTATCAATGCAGAAACTCTTTGTTAGCTACTCGAGAGGAAGACTGTGTGGGGATGCCCCAAGTGCAGTATTCTTGTTTGCCTTCATTCAGTCATGTATTAAACAATGTTGTCATGGTTTATTCCTGACCTCTTTTCTGCCATCACCAGGACAATGCAGCCGCTCCCGCCGTGTCTGCAAACACATCTGCCTAAACCTGACCAGGTACCTGTTCCGATGTGCTTGTAGACAAGGCTACAACCTACAGCCCGACAGCCGGTCGTGTGAGAGCGGGCTCAACTCTACCAGTGCAGGAAGAATACCTCGCTATCAGACGTCGTCTAATCAACTTCCACCTACCAGACGAAGACGATCTGATATCTACAATTCAAATCAAAAACTTGTGCAATTTCCAGACACAGGATCCTTTTTTTTATAACAAAGACAGATATAATTTTGAAAGTAAAATAAAGAATGGCATCTATGATAACAAAAATGAAGATCAAAAGAGTGTAAAGGGTTTAGGATCCAGTAGTTCAAAACTACGTGACAATCTAGCTATTCGACACCAAGTATTTTCTAATCAAAATGTTAAGGTTCTAAAAGACAAGGAAGCCATCGCTAACTCGGGGCTAGCTTTGAAGAGATCTGCTAGGAAAGAAGAAGTAACAAAGGCAGGTGACAGGTATAGAACAACATACTTTGACCGGAAACACTCTCCCTTTGGTCATGAATATTTACAAGGTTCCATCTATAAACAGTCAGCGGAAATCTCCGGTAACTGGGACCAGAAATATGAAGATTTGTTTGAAGAAGTGGAAAAAGCCTTGCTAGATCTGGAACAAAACCAAATAAAGGAAATAGACCCTGCTAGATTACAGGACATAGACAGGAAATTACACAAGTTAGACAAAAACACGATTCTGGAGCTGAAAAGGAAAAAGTTGAAAACATTAGAGAACAGATTACAGGATATAGGAAACAAGCAGTGGCCGGAGTTCAATAAGAACACATTTCAGGAAATAGAGAAGAGCAGAATGTTTGGTCAAGAGAACTACAAGTTTCAGGAGTTAAACCAAGACAACTTGCATGAGAACCACAAGTTTCAGGAGTTAAACCAAGACAACTTGCATGAGAACCACAAGTTTCAGGAGTTAAACCAAGACAACGTGCATGAGAACCACAAGAGCAAATTTACTGATGGAGAAAACGAACTGAAGAAGTTACAAAAGAGCACAGTACCTGATCAAGAAAACCACAAGTGGCAGGAGTCACAGAAGAGCAGATATCAAGAAAACAAAATGCACGATTCGGAAGAGAGCAAGTTATTTAATCAAGAAAAGAAGGGGCAGATGTTAAACAATGACAAACTACTCGAGTTCGACAAGAGAAAATTGCTTGGTCAAGAAAAGAAGCGGTGGTCAGAATTAGGAAAGGGCGCAAAGCAGGAATTGGAGAAAAGCAAATTACTTGGTCAACACAGAAAACTACAGGAGCTGACGAAAAGGACATTACTTGATAAAGAAAGCAAATTGCAAGATTTGGAGGAGAGCAAATTACCTACTCGAGAAAATATCAAGTTGCAGGAATTAGGCAAAGACAAATTACGTGAACTCAGCGAAAGCAAATCACTTATTCGTGAAAACAAAAAGTTGCACGAGTCAGATAAGGACACATTTCTTAAGTTGGACAAGAATAAGTTACAAAAACTAGCAGACACACTTCACGATCTAGAAAATAAGCAGTGGCAACAGTTGGACTCGAACAAATTAGTTAACAATGAAAATAAAAAGGGACCGTATTTAGACGGCAACAAGAAAGACACGGACAGGAAATACTGGCAGAAAACAGAGGAGAACATGGTAAAGCAAGTAGAGAATAGCAGATTTATGGAATCACACAAGAAGCAACAGCAGCAATTAGATCATGCCCATTTGCATAACCTAGAAAAAAAGAAATCAGAGGAACTAGGAAAGACCCAACTGGAACTAAAAAAGAAGAAATTAGAGGAAACAAAAATGACCCAAATGCAGAGGCTACAAGATACGTACATGCTGGAACTACAAAGGAATAAAATCCAAGAACGGAGGCTAGGTAAATTCAAGGAAATAGAAAAGAACAAAGAACAGAAATTAGAAACATTCAAAATGCCGGAAATAGAACAGAACACAGAACAGGAATTCAAAAAGATTAATAGGCAGGAACTAAAAAGAACAAATCTGCAGGAATTTGAAGGAAAACAAATCCTGACTCTGGAAAAAAGCAAACTGAAGGAACTAGAAAAGACTCAAGTAAAAGAACTAGAAAAGAACAAAGTGCAGAAACTAGAAAAGACTAATTTTGGAAAGGATAAATCAGATTATGAACATGGTCGACTCGGCGGCGGAAATGATCACATTAGCCTTTTTAAAGAGCCAGAAGAGCCTGGATCTCAGACAACACAGTTCTCCCCACAACAAGGCAAGACATCCCTGCCAACAAGGGTACAGACTATCATCTCTACGTTTAAGAAAACCAGCAAAGCAGATTTCAAGTATCCTTACGCCACAAATAACAAACGTCTGCAGACGGCAGACAGCGAAATCTAACTATTAGCAGACAGTGAGAAAACACAGTCCTGTTTGCAGGGACCAGTGTCAACTTATTCCATAACCAACAGCTCACCAACGGTTCAGTGCTACATCTAACATGATCAGATTTGATTAACTTGTGTGTGTTTCTTTCATTTGTTACATTAACACACTATATGCGTTTCCTAAATGTGGTGACCTAAAGGAAATATTTATAAAAGGAGAGGTAGTGGAACGAACAAACAAACGAACAAACAAACTTTATTTTCGAAGGGTTACAAATTGGGCACGCAGGCCCGTCTGACATTCGGCCCTTCTAAGCACTCATCTTTCAGAGTACCAATATATGTTTTCAATAATGCATGTTATGTATATAATAAAATTATACATTATAGAATAATGCATACAAACATCATGTGTACATAATCTTACACACTCAAGCGTACACATACTCTTACATTCTCACACATACACACTCACATAGACAAACGTAATACATACACACACAAACCTACATATTTACATACATACATACATACATACATACATACATACATACATACATACATACATACATACATACATACATACATACATACATACATACATACATACATACATACATACATACATACATACATACATACATACATACATACATACATACATACATACATGCATGCAGGCAGGCAGGCAGGCAGGCAGGCAGGCAGGCAGACAGACAGACAGACAGACAGACAGACAGACAGACAGACAGACAGACAGAGAATTACACAGACAAACATGCACACACACATTCCATAGATACACATGAGGAAGAAAGGATGAGAGAAAGCTAAACAAAGAGCTAGAGGTCGTCAAACTGAGAGAAGACGGCATAAAGAGAGGCAGGGGAGGTAATAAAGAGAGACTCAGAAAGGCAGGAAGACGAAGGCAAAAAAGAGAGACAGGGGATCACAGACAGAGGCAGAAAAGTGGAAGGTAGAAGGAGGTGCTGTGGAAGGCAGACAGCAGGTCAGGACAGCAAAGCAAGATGATTCTTGAAGTTTTTTTTTTTTTTTGTCGTGGCCTGGAAGAGTGTCAACACACGGAACTGATTCATGCTGTTGGAGATCGTAGGTTGTGGAGAGGCGTGATCGCCGACAGCTGTCGCAGTGCGCTTGATGATGATGATGACCCTCATTGATATACAGCCTGTGTCTGTCTAAAAGAGTTATCTCAACCCCGCTGGAGACACTGTATATGTTTTTGAAATAATGACTGTTTTTGATAATAAAAGTAAAATTAATTTTTTATTTTTTTAAGTATGAGTGAATGGCATAAATAAGCGAATGAATGAATGGATGCATGGATGAATGGATTGATGAATGAAGGAATAAATAGATGAATGAGCGAATGAATGGATGAATAAGAGAAGAATGAATGGATGGATAAATTAATGAATGGATGAATGAATGAATTAATTATTGAAGAGTGAATGAATGCATGGATAAGAGAAGAATAGATGGATGGATGGATGAATCATTTAGCGAATGGGTGGATGAATAGATGGATTAATGAACGGATAAATGGATAAATGAGCGAATGGATGAACGAATGGATAGATGGATGAATGAATGAGCGAATGTATAGATGGATGGATGGATGGAGAGGTGAGCGAATGAATGGATGAATTAATTAAGGGAGATACTGGACTCGGGACATTCCCAGACGTGCTAATAAAGAAAAGTCACGCTAATTGTATCTCTTGCAGTTAACATGACACAAATCTTCCCATTTACACAGTGTGTGACCCTTCATTCATACTTCCTCGTCCGCCTCTACGTCAGGGATCTTCGTGAGACAAGGTTTTATGTTTCTGCGCTGCGTGTCTTCAATCATGGGTGCTTGCGTTTCTTCATTCATTCGTGTCGTCTCGATGGGGTTAGTGCGTGAATAATTACCACCGACAGGGCATTTTGTTTTGACTCGCTCTTGTGAGCAGACATGAATGTTCTCGAGCTTTCAGCTTTAACGACAAGCAGAGAAACGTTCGTTTCCTGCAGAAGCACGGCATATTACCGTCAGCCAGACGCTATTCCAACAATCATCTGATGGAACTCCTACAATCATCTGATAGAACTCCAACAAACATCTGATGGAACTCCAACAATCATCTGATAGAACTCACAATCATCTGATAGAACTCCTACAAACATCTGATGGAACTCCAACAATCATCTATTGGAACGCCAACAATTATATGATGGAACTCAAACAATTATCTGATGGAACTCCAACAATCATCTGATAGAACTCCAACAATCATCTGATAGAACTCCAACAATCATCTGATAGAACTCTAACAATCATCTGATGGAACTCCAACAATCATCTGATGGAACTCCAACAATCATCTGATAGAACTCCAACAATCATCTGATAGAACTCCTACAAACATCTGATGGAACTCCAACAATCATTTGATGGAAATCCAACAATCATCTACTGGAACTCCAACAATTATATGATGGAACTCAAACAATTATCTGATGGAACTCCAACAATCATCTGATGGAATTCCTACAATCATTTGGTGGAACTCCAACAATCATCTGATGGAACTCCAACAGTTATCTGATGGAACTCCAACAGTTATCTGATGG